AGTGACCAATATTCGGGAGGTCAGGGTGCCCGATGTCTAGTAACCTGTTAATTTGTTGTAACTGTAGGTCTCTTTGTGGTAGTTTAGTGATGGCTGGAGTCGGGCCTTAGCTTTCTGTGTGTATGAGGATTCGTTGAAGCAAAGAAAATAGCTGGAATTGAAACGTCCCTCTTTTTGTGTCTTTTCCGTCGACTAAAAGTTTAGCTTCTTGTTCCGCAGTCTCCGGCACTCAAAAAATGATCAATGTTCTCTAACTCTCTTGCACCCGACTGGTACTAAGCCAGGACCACACGAACATATCTCTAAGATAAGTAACCAAAACCTGGACCAGATCCTGTTCTTAGTAACACTATTGTTAGTACACTTTTAGAATTCCACTTTTAGAAATAAAATAAAAATTACCCCACTGTAAGAAAAAAAAAGGAACGCGGTTCCTTTTTTCGTTTCAGTAAAAATGTAACGAGTTCCCGTTCCAGTTACACTGATGCGAAATGGAACGGCAGCGTTCCACCGTTCCTCCTAAAAGTTACGCGTTCCAGGAACGCCGTTCCTTGGAACGCCGTTCTGTACAACACTGTATCCAGTAAACGGATTCGGGGGCAATCACGCTGTGCATCAAACGACGCTTCATCCAAAGATTCGTCCGTCCACCCCGCAACGTTCCATCAACAAATCGTTTCGTCATAATGAGACAGCTTTCATTTCATCGACACACCTTGAAGGTTTCGATCAAAACTATGATTTCTTGTATGCGTGCATGTGCGGACGTTTCGGTGTCCGCACGCACCGAAATGTCCGCAAGCACGCACACAACCAACGCCCTCCAACGGGTGTTTCTCAGGACTCTGCAACTTTCCAATTGACACCTTCTCCCTTGACTCAATATTTAAAAAGGTACCTAATTATATTTAATTAATTAAATCATTAGTTTCTATAAAAATACTGGGGCTTTGGAAAGACGTCTGCTAACATACAGTTCCAAATCGCTGGGGGACACCGTGTATACTTGTGAGGAACGAAACGGGGGTTCGCTCAAACGAGTCTGCGTATTGCTCGAGCGAACATCTCCGGAGATGAAGAGGGGAGACGAAAGAGACGCCTGGGAGGCCCCGATCTACCGCAGGGGAAAGGAATCGAGCCGCCGTCTTGGAAGATGGAGAGCCGAAATAGGAGGGGGCCCTTGGTTCCGAAAAGACACGTCGCCGTGGTCGGACGGAAGCTTGAGACTTTCGGCGTGCGGGGAGAACGCGCTGGGGTCCGTGTTGCTCTTGTTAGCAGCGATACTTAGGCTGCATTATATACTTCGTTCAAATATTCCCAGTGACACTCAAGTTACAAGATGAGAAGCGCTGAAAATGCCCCAAACCGCGGAGGTGTTTAAAATAAATACAGATTAAAACAAACTTGGTGAAAAACAGATGGCCAGAATTGTCTGCCGATTTTAAGCAAAAATAAACAACTAACGACCGAACCTATATGACTATAAGCTGGAACTTTTGACGTAGCTAATATCGTAGGGCTTGTTTTGTACAAGGGGGTTGCATAATGAAAAACTTGAATCAAAATAAATACAACTATTGCGTTCTTTGTTGCCTTGCCTCAGTTATTCACTTATATTATTTCCTATAGGAAACAGGACATGAGGCGCTTGAGTTCTCCTCCCAACATGTTTCTTGGTAAATTTTGAAAATTCACCAGATAGCTAATTATGGACGCCTTCCTTTCACACAGATATGTTTCTTTTCCAAGATGAGCTCAGCAGAGACCACGTCTCCGCGGGCTGGCCATACTTCGTTTCACGTTAGATCAAAGCGCAGCCAAAGGCTGGTGGACGGTTCACCACTTGGAAAAGAGCGTTCGTACGCATCACGAAGTAGTTCGCAAAATACAATTTTAGAAATACTTGGTTTGAGTGAAAACAATGCACAATTTTCCGGTTGTGTCCTGCTAAGAACTAATTATCAAAAACAAATAAATTAAATGACGTTCCTCATTCTTCATATGATAGCAATTAATATGATTCGACGAAAAACGCCTACCTGCTGGCAATACTGATCCAACTACTACAAGTTTTTTTCCGTATTTCTTTTTTTTTGTGTGTGTGTGTTCTCAACGGTTGAATTTTAGGCTTCAAGATCGAAGCTTTCCTCGCCAAGTTGCTTGACATCTCTTTGTTTTTTTGTTTTTTTAATTACCACCGACAGCGCAATATAAGAAAGACACGTTTGGGCGTCAGGCGCAAGATCGTGATGAATGTGTACTCTTCTTCGTCGAGGGTCTAAAACCGCGTCGTACCGCGAAATTCTTCAACGAACATCGGAGCTAACAGACGTTGCGAAAGCGACAAAAAGTTGATCCACCGATGGCGGAAAATGCTCTCCGATGGAAAACGAGTCAAAATCGTGTGTCGAGGCTGCGGTCAGAGGCAAAAGTAATGTAAAAACTTGCGGTTTCGGTGGACCTCTCAGAAAACGCGTACTTCAGTGCGACCGGAAGGACACGGTATGTTGTTGTTGTTGTTGTTTTTGTTGCTGTTTGCTGTTATGTGTTTGCGGAGAGAACGTTACCCGTGTTCCAGCTCCGGCCTTCCCCTGCCGGCAGTGCGACGAACCTCCGCGAAGTCCCGCAGCCACTGCACTGAACCGGAGTTTTATTCCAGGACGCGAAATGGCATTTTGAATTACGTAGCGGACGATGCTGTCGATACTCCCGTAGCAGACGAAGTGTCTCTATTCGACTCCTCTGCACCTCAGCACAGATTCAGGGCGGAGTGTTATACGAAGTGTAGGCGAAGTCTGTACGAAGTCTGGGTCGGCACAGCGGGGCCAAGTCTAGCCTCCTTCCTGGTTATCGGATTACCAAAGCAGCGGGTCGCGTTCACGTCGACTGATGACGTACCCTTGAGCAGTGCAGTATTGCAGGCGCAGACGCATTCGGATATGTGTTGAATTTCACTGCTTCAGTCATCCTACTGTTTCAAGTCAATTACCGCCAGACTCGTGTTGCAGCGGACTGTGACTCAGCTACTCGGCCACAGGTCAAGCAAGACTTCCTTTGATTTCCTATTTCTCAAGACTCTAACTAGAAGCGGGCATTGAATGCCAGTAAACAATGACTCATGAAATCCGTACCTAGGGACCTGCGGTAGAAGATGCTCCGACTCAACTCCTTGCACGCTACCTGTTTCAAATTCCGACAACGCTACGTTTCTCAGAAGAGAAAAATAATTTGTAATATCGGAAGGAACCTTGCTCAGCATAGCAAATGGCACTAATATCTCCTTGACCCTAATGCCCGCAAAAACAAAAAAAGCAACAAAAAACAAATGCATCCGGACTTGTATTTTGCTTTGTTTTGGTTGTTGTTGTTTTATTTATTTTTTTTTTTTTTGGGGGGGGGAGTATTTCTCAAGATATGTAACGAAATACATTTAATCCTGATTGTATCGCGATAAAAAGAAACATTCTACATGTACTTGATACAGCAATAGAGATACTGGTGACCAAATGTATTGCGATAGAGAAATACAGATACGAAATGTACTGCTGAAATACGATACTGCCCAACCTTGTAATGTTGCCGGCATAAGCACTTGAAAGCTGATATTATCAAACGCATAGACAATTGCAAAAAATGCTAAAGGCCTAAAAAAAGCACTGGTTTTACTAAGCTCGTGGTGCTGGATTGCCTGGGGTGACTCGTAGCGTCCGCAGATGTCCATCGCAAGGTGAAACAAAGTATGCAGAGACTAAAGTCAAAGGAAATGAACGGGAATCCGCTAGCTTGCTTGCTTGTACCCCTAACCCACCTGAATGTCAAAAATATAACACAGAAAACAAGCATCGAAACTAAGACCAAGTAAGAGGCGGCCTTACACATAAAAATGCAGTATAAGACACAAGCGTCGGAGCAAAGCGCAAGAAAAGAGAGAAATGAATCTTGCTTTGTTTTAATTCCGAAGCAAACCCAGATTTCTCACTTCAAAGGAGTGCGCGCGAATGAACGTGGAAGGAAGCAGGATTGGCCACCTTATGAACAACCTTCCTCGAACTATAAGAAAACAATAACTGATCATCTTTTGGTGACGCGGTAGTCAAAGAGTTATCAGAGCTCTGCGAGTTGTGAGTCACCCCCCGCTCCTAGATCTCAGACTTTGCGCGCGCGTGCTTTCTCCATGCCGTCGCAAAAAAAAGAAAGAAAAGAAGGACGATAAGGAGCCGTGCATGGCGGTTTTTTCCTGTGCCGCACCCTTCGTTTCTTTTGCTTGGTGCTTGGTTTCTTATTTCGCTCTCGTGTAACACCAGTGAAGCCCGTCGCCAACGCGTCCGTCAAAGGCGCCACCGCCGAACCGCCCCCCCCCATCCCCTTCTCTTTCCTCTGCTCTTTGCTTTGACGCTTGTTTTTTGTATCCATTTTATTTCTGAACAACTGACTCGCTGACTGGGTCGGTATAGCTGAACGTAACCCCCCCCCCCCCTCCCCTCCAAAAAAAGAAATTATATATATATATATATATATATATAAATAATAAAAAAGTAAAAAAAATATAAAGAACCGGGCCCATTCCATTCCCATCCCATTCTGGGAAAAAGGCATCTAATTCAATTCCCATTCCATTCCCCTCAACGTTGTCGCCATTCCATTCCTATTCCATTCCGTGGTCGCGAAAATGCGGAATGATTCCGGAGTCATTCCAACTCCGGAGTGGCAACTCCTCAACACTGGTAGAGAGTTAGTCCCCTTTAAGATTTACTTGAGCTCGAACTTGTTGTTTCCCGTAATTCATATTATTCACCTTTACATAACCGTCAACCAGTCAGGTATACGCTTCTTCCGTGACAATGTTAATGCGGATACAAAGGACACTTAGCTTTATAAAGTCATATATTGAAATACGACAAACACTGTAATCCCACACAACCACCACGAAGTATTTATTTTCCCAGTAAAGGTTTCCCTACACGCTCGTCTGACGAGAGTAGTAAGCTTAGCTTGCACAACTAGCAACTCGCATCGTAGATGTAGTACTTCTGCGTTGTGCCGCAAAGAAGGTCAAAAATAAAATCACAGCAGGTTATGTTCTTGTTCAATTCAGATTCAGGCACAAGTAGAGTACAGGCTGCATCTGCAAGATTAAGGAAGGTTAGATAACTGCGGCCATCAGTACATTTATCTAGTAAACGGGGCCTACAAAACGATTGTAGCGTCTGGCACTGATTACAATTTAGGACAGGGTTGCATGGATTACATAATTTATGAGTTTCAAAGGCTGACGCACAATCCTAAATAATACAGAACTCAACAACGTCCCCCTGCTTCTTTTCCCTGATGGCATTGATTCAAACGGAAGGAGCATGTTATATCGCTATCGAGCTTGTGATAGACGTCTCTCATGTCTTGCCTCTTTGTACCATGATGTCTGCATTTGTGACAGACGTCAATGGGCTGTCTCACCTGTGCCATTCCTATAATTTCTCATTGCTGTGTATTGGGCTGCTATTGGATTAAGGATACCAGACTCATGCATCTAGAAAAAAAAATTACTCTGCCATACATTTCTCCCGGGCTCTAAATTACAATAGGACCAAAACAGACAAGAAAAAAAAAGATTTGGCGGCCTATAATCGTGTTTCAAAGGGATGAAGTAATCACAAGTTTCTAAGAGGAAAATTAAGAAATGAAGAGGTTCAAGCAAACCTGAAACTCGTAACCCGACTGTCACTATTTAGGAGATTGAGAGCTAAAAATAGCACCCAACACTTTATTTTTAATCTTTAAATCTTTCACTGGTTTTTCAGCAGGGTGCTTTACTTTTTACCGGTGCTGTGCGTATGGATTTTATAATTTTTAAACTACCACAAATAGCGAAACCTTAGAGAAACAAACATAAAAGCTAGCACTAAGCCACAAATTTGAAGAAACAAAACAGCAGCTGTCCAGCTTCTTCCCATATATCAACTGTGGGAACTTTAAACAGTCAAGTTACACTCTTTGATATTTTCTTACCGCTGACGTAGGTGTTCCTAAATACGACGCACTGCGCGCACTCCACATATGCGGCGTATACCTCCACCGTGGTACTTCCTGCAAATATGTAAGCAAACATTGCATCAGTTCAGTGGGAGTTATCTGGCATTTTACTCTCTTATATCCATAAAAAATGTATAAAACGTCAGAAGATAAAAAGTGTATCTTTTTTTTTTCTAAACTACTGACTGCTCTTTTATGTCTTTATAGATCAGATATTTCAAAAAGTTCAATTGCTTATGTATAAAAGTATTTTTGTTATCCACGCAGTGTTAGATGTTAAGTAAACAAACTTATTTAACTTTAGATTGGCTCAATTAGAAAAAAATTAATTTAAAATAATTTGGTCCAACTCTGGATGGGGACGTGTCAGTAACACTTACCACCTGTAGGAGTAAGGTTCAAGATATTTTTGCCCGTGTATCCGGGAGACGACTCAAGGCTCCCGCTTGCCGTACTGGGTAAAAGGTGTGGGAAAAAAAATATAAGAACGAAAAAAAAAAAACAACGACAAAAATCTACACTTTGCTTTAGTTTCTAAAGCTACTGTATTTGATCTAACTTTTGGGCGGTGTGCACGACACGGCCGCAAGTTTGAGGTGTGAAAACGTCTACGTGCCGTGGCTAGTGAAATGAAATCCGAGTATTGAATGTAACTTATTTATTTTGATGTACAACAATTAAAGGAATTAATCACAACTGTGACAATGAACACATCTCTTTGTTAGTCCCACAATCAATCAAACAAAGAATATTTAAAAATGAAGTAAGCTTATATTACTGAACGATACGCAAGAAACCGAACGGAACACATGCCAAGACAGAACGCGAGCGTATTCAATCAGAAGTAGAAACAAGTGCAGATCGAAACGCGCGCTAGATTTTTTTTTTTTTTGGCGAAACTTATCGATGGGCACAAACGACTGATTTTACGACGATAAATAAGAAATATATTGTAGCATTTCAGCGCCGATGTGGTCTCGCGCCTCTCCGAGCGCCGTCCGAGGGGTTATACTCCCTCCGGGATCGGCTTACAATCAATGGCCCTACGAAGGAAGACCGCTTCCCCGAGCGCCGACCATAGAGTTAATATAATAATCTAGAGGGAAATGTCCCGTGAACTCGGGCCGCTCAAGAAACAGCGGGGCATAGAGGCGGACATTGATGGTCCCGATGGGCCCATGTCACTGGCGACGCCTTGATATCCAGAAAGAAGAAGCAAAAATGTATGTGTCTAATTATTTTATCGTTTACATCCAGGAAAACACCGGAATCGCGCATTGTATAAAAATAAAGTTTCACGCGCTCCAGCAACTTCAACTCATCGCTACAAAACGAACACGCGTGACCTTTTGTCTGCTTCCTTTCTCTCCTCTTCAGTCGGTTTCTTGTTGGAGTTTCTTTCTATGGACCATCGATGTCCAGCAATAATCCTTTTCCAACTTCTCCGGTTTTCACCCCAAGGGTCAGATTTTTTTTTTTTTTTTTTTTTTGCAGATTGTAACAGATAAATACTGAGTGGTTCATTGAGTGAACATAGCCGAACACGCTTACATTAAGAAGAACCGCTACCGCTATTAGTTCAATGGAACGTAACTGCGATTGACGATGGGCACATTCAGACGGGTTTTAAAATTCCGAGCCGGAAGAAAAGAGCGTCACGTTAAACCGCCCTGTAATGAGGTTTAATTTCGTGCTCTGCTGAATCACACCTGTCTGCATTTGTGCCCTGGGATCCAGCTGCCGTGTAGGTGCCAGGGCTTGGCGCAATACTGGTTAAAGTGCAAGAAGGCACCGAGCGAGTCATCACCTAAGCAAGTCGGACACTGTCCAAGCGGAAAAAAATTACTCCACGACTGAGAAAGAATGCCTTGCGGTCGTCCGGGCCATCACGAAGTTTAGTTCGCACTTGTACGGAAGCCCGTTCCGTGTAGTCACGAACCACAACTCGCTCTGCTGGCTTGCGAGCCTCAAGGACCCGTCAGGATGCCTCGCTCGATGGAGTCTCCGACTACAAGAGTTCAACATGAATGCGGTCTACAAGTCAGGCCGCAAGCACAGCGGCGCCGACTGCCTGTCCAGAGCCCCCGTCGAAACATCTTCCGGCAGCAGCGACGACGATGACCAGTGCTCCCTAGGCGCAGTGAACACCGACTACATGGCACGACGTCAACGAGACGATCCCCAGCTGCGCGAACTAATAGAGCACCTAGAAGGGCGCGGGAGTAGCATGCCACGTGTTTTCTCACGAGCCCTGCCGACTTTCGCTATTCGACAAGGTGTTCTCTACAAAGAGAATTTCGGTGACAAGTCGCCGTGGCTGCTAGTAATCCCGACCGACCTTCTAGAGGAGATCTTTCAAGCCTGCCACGACGAACCGGCGTCCGGATACCTTGGTTACAGTCGGACGCTGGCCTGTATTCGTGAAACGTATTACTGGCCCAAGCTCCCCAAAACCATATACCTATACATACGATCATGCCAAGAGTGCCTGCGACGCGAGAAACCTCCGACGAGGCCGGCCGGTTTCTCGCAGGCGATTCTTCCGCCAACTGTACCCTTCCAGCAGATCGGAATGGCTCTAGTTGGCCTTTTTTCGGCGTCAACGTCGGGAAACCGCAGGATATTCGTCGCCACAGATTATTTCACGCTGTATTCCGAAACGAAAGCCCTTCCTTCAGGGACTGCTGTCGAAGTCGCCAAGTTTTTCATCCAGTCCATCGATGCTCTGCCGAAGTTCTGATCTCAGACCGCGGATCATCGTTCATGGTCCAGCTGACGCAAGCAATCCTTCGTCTCAGCCACACCAGCCATCGTCGCACCACGGCCTACCACCCACAGACCAACGTGCTGACGACTCAACAAGACCATCGCCGACATTATCTCTATGTACGTCGACGTGTAGCACAACACATGGGACGAGGTGTTGCCGTACATCACATTTGCTTACAACACGGTGGTACAAGAGACCACCGGGGTGGCACCCTTTCAACTGGGTCAAGGTCGCAGAGTAACGACAATGCTGGACGCGATGCTATCCCACAAACCGACTGTCGACGGACGCGACGACGCCCAGGTGGTTGCCCAACGGGCAGAAGGAGTCCATCAGTTCGCCTGACTTCGGATTAAAGCCCAACAACGTGTCGACACTGGCCGCTACAACCTTCGTCGTCGGGACGTCCACTTCCAGGCCGGAGACAGGGTGTGGGTCTGGACACCGATTTGCCGCCGTCGTCTCAGCGAAAAACTCCTGAAACGGTATTCCGGACCCTACAAGGAACTTCGTCGACTTGGAGATCCGAACTACAAGGTGATGCCCGACGGAAAAAAAACATCATCACGCCGCCCACCACGACCTAAAGTCGTCCACGTTGTGTACCTGAAGTCATACTATGCTCAATAGCACTGTGGACCATGTGTGTTCCAAATGGCTCTTTAGTTTGCCGCTATTTTTTATTTTTTTGCTTTGTTTCATTTTGTGTTGCATCGGGGCAATGCACCTTTTAAAGGAAGGGGGGGGGGGGGGGGGGGGAGGGAGTAATACCGCGCGCGCAGCTGGCCAAGTAGGCAGCGCGGCCGTGGCCTCACGGCTATCGTACTTGCCTCTCACGCGAAGAGCCAGGGCTCGATTCCCGGGAGCGACGTGTCTTTTATTTATTTTTGCAATTTCGTGTTCTGGTGAATTCGAGAATTCTGTTGCTTGTTCGAGGTTCCAAGTTTCTACGCGCCGAACCTTCTACGCCGATTGTTCCAGAATCCCACGCGTGTACAAAAGGGGCTCCGCGTGCCGAAGCGCAGTCAGTCTCGCCCCAACGGTCGATCCTGCTGTTACGCCGACTTCGGCGCCCACGACACTCTGTTGTTATCCTCTCTTTCCTTTTTGGTTTTGGGCACAAGTTCGCCCCATTAAACGTTTCAATTTCCTCAGTTTTTCTTTGTTTCGTCACCTTATCATTCGTGACAATATATTGTTTTACACAAAAAACTTGCGGGGCGTCATTGAAATCCACTATATCAGTAAATTTAGAAAAAACTTCGAACGCGTGGGGAGCGCGATAGTTCGCTAGCTAGTTACCACTTCTGGAATAGGCGCAAGGCTGGTGAGGCGAAAATGCGGATCAGAGACAGAGTAACTGCACCGTGTCTTTTCACTTCATCAGTGTTTCGCATGTTGCTTGAGTGGTAATATTAAGATATCGTCGCGGCTTCGCACACGCTCCAAGTCTTTCCAAACTTACAAGTTGTGCGTTTTCGATGACGCCAGCAAGCTCCTAATAGGAAACATGTGATTATCATTCAATAATTAAAAACCTAATCAACGTATATTAGTTAACCGACCGATTGATTGTGACGAATAACCCCTATATTATGTCCCGTTGTGCTAACTTCCCTGCTTAAACAGCATTAACGTGGCTTCCCCGATTCTTCGTTTTTTTTTTTTTTTTTAACAGTCGGAAAGTTTTAGGAACACCTTGCATATTTTGCTTTATAATTAATTTTGGTTAGTGTTTGATAGGATGCATTAAATAAACAAGTATTTTAGATGGCTTCCGTTTCAACCAAAAAAGAGGTATATCTTCAACTGTTACGTTTTTTTAAAGCATGATATGCTTTGCAATAAAGCCTCCTCAGACCCAAATTCCAAAACTTCACCTGTCCGTCCGTTTGACTTTTCGCCCATGTGTCCATACATTTCCCGCTAAATTTACCGGGAGAAATTGACGTTACGTAACCTAAACACCAATTCACTTTCCTCGCTAAACTTAGCGGAAGTTTGATGTCCCGAGACGTGTCACGAAACTTACATACCAATTTAGTTTTCTGTTTAAAGTTGTCGAGGAAACTGAAGTCACTTTAACTGGCGTCACGTGAACTATAAACTAATTTAGTTTCGCCGCTAGATTTAACGGGTAAAGTTAAAGTCACGTGACCTATACATAAATTTCATTTCCACTCTAACTTTAGCGGGAAATTGATGTCAGGTTGCCTGATTTCACGTCACCACACCAATTCGGTTCTTCCGCTAAATATAGCGAAAAATTTTACGTCATGTGACCAGGCATCAAGTGACCTATACACCCATCCTGTTCCTTCGGTTAATTTGGCGGAGAATTCGATGTAACGTGATTTTTGCACCAAGCACGTTTCCCTGCTAAATTCAGTGTCAAAGCTGACGTCACGTAGTTTGACGTCATAGACATAAACACAAATTCACTTCCCCCACAAAATACGGCAGGGAAACTGATGTCACGGGATGTATGCATCAAATCAGTTTTCCCACTCAATAGGCCGATCTCACTAAGCGTTCGGCGCATGCGTGACGCCGCCATAACTTTAGTTCACAGCAGGCAGACATCCGTGCATGCGAGGGCTCGTGCCTCTCATGCTCCACACGCGCAAAGCTCCAGCGAGGTTTTCGCACGTGCAGAAAGACTAAAGTTCCCTCGATGCATTGCGGTAGCGGTCGCCTAGTGAAACTGGCTGGTGATATCGGTCTATTGCTTTCTAGAAGTTTTTCACTCCCCGAAACGTTGTTCACGTTCATTACCCTCAAAGACATTCCTACCATTGTGTTTTCTGAGGGTAAGTGCAAAAGACGCTTAAACACGTTTACAATATACTAAAAGAGTTCGCAAGTGTACATAAGCAAAATTTAGACAGGTAGAAGCAAAATATACATAGTCGTTGGTGATTCTAGTTAGAGAGATATAACGAGCCAAACAGAGAATAAAAGGGAATCACGGTAGTGGATCTGAGCATTTCGCTCAAAATACAGATTCCTTTAAGACAATTTTAACATAAAAAGGGTTGTTCGCACGTACATATGAACTGTTTTAAATATGTGAAAGTAAACTAGACATTGAGATGTATGAGATATGGTTAATGTGTTCTATAAAAAAAATTAATGGTTTCTCCTCGAATTTTTTTTCTGTGTGTACCTTAAAACTTTGAAAATATAGGTCGCTGGCAAGCTTTTATTTCTAAATAAGTCGGATATTTAAATTTTTTTACACACTTTCAATATTATTGTTTCGAAATTCTATGTCCATTCCTCTATAACTGTATTTCCGTTAGCATTAAATTGCAAGTAAAGATATTCGTTTTCAAATATGTTTCTAAATGACGTCAATTATTCTTATTTTATTGCTTCGCATATTTCAATGTTATATCTAAATGTGTCTCAAACTCGCCATCGTGAAACTATCCACTTTTGTTTTAAATATGTTAGCATCTTGAATGAATCAGCCCTTGCTACTTTATGCAACCTGAAAGTTAGGTAGATGCTTTAATTTACTAAAAAAAACACAGCCACCAAATGCTAAAGCAAGGACTATCAGACAGGGACCCCCTACAAAGAGCTCCATATTTTCAAGCAACCTAAAAATTACTTTGAGATAGTTTCTGCGTGCCTCGTTCACTTTCTTTAATCTTGCCCAGCTTCACAAGATAAGATATGATGGTTGTAACAATCTTGCTGCTTGTTCAAACGAAATACATCGTAGTAATATGTTTTACTTACGCAGACTGGCTTCCGAAATCAAAACGAAGAGGATAGGCGCCATTTACGGGTGGTCCGTTTTCCGTGTATTTGACACACTTGGTTGTTCCACCAAAGGCTGGGTCAGACTCATAATTTCTGTAGATTGTGTGCCAACTCTCTTGAAGCGGAAAGCACTGGATCGGAAATAAGTTGAAGCGATTTTGTCAAGCTTAAAATCAACGAAAGCATTCAACCATTTATACTCTAGAAAGAAACGACAACGAGTACATATACAAGTCTTACTTTTAAAAATAGTATAATAATACATTACAACTTAACATATAAAGCGGTGCGTGGTTCTAAGTTATTGTCACTTGGTCTGCTTCTTGTGATTTTAATGCAAATTAGTTCAACAATCTCTAATATTCCTTCTTGTACTCAAGGCACTCAGGATGACACCTCAAACCAGTGTATCAACTTTTTCTGGCTGGAAGGTCAGTGTAGCTTGCATCACAAAAAAAAATACTGATTAACTAAAGGCAATTGATGCAAAGTACGGTACCTTTTATTTTGCATTTTCTCCTCAAGCATTATTATTTTATTAGGGATCGCAAGTGTTCTTTTCTTGCCACCCGCAGCTGTTCGTTTTTTATTCCTTAAAGAAATTTTAAAAATCCTTCTAATTTGGAATCGTATATGCACATTTTCTATTTGTAATTGAGATTATTGATGAAGATGAGTTTCAAAATTGAAGTTGTTACATTCTATTGGGTGTCTAAAATGCCGAGGCTCGATTTAACATGGAACGTAAAAATCGGCGCCTGCACGTAGCAATCCAGACTTTTCATCAAAGCTGTGTTTCGGAAATGGGTATTACCTTGAAAAATTACAAGGTGTAACTCCTTTTCGGCAAATAATAGAGCCAAAAAACTTGCCTGTTTCAACGGCGGAACACAGACAACCGGGTCGAGCGGCGGGGCGCGTCTGACGCACGTATTTATAGATGGCGCTGCCTCCTTGTTCCGGGCTTTCTAAAAAAATAGGGACTGCCCGCGACGACCATGGTCTGTTCAAATTAACCTAATATTTTTGTAATGTACCCTTGGTTGAAAAATAAATGCGGACAATGATAGCAAAACTTGAAATAATAAAAATAAAATAAAACGCGGCTACCTAACGACGGCGCTCTTGCTTCCGACAGATTTCGTCTGCGTGTCGTCTGCTTTCTTTGGCTGGTCGTTCACAACTTCCGACTCTGCTCCCGAGACGCCATTTCTCAATACGTGCACCAAACGTGCTCCGCCACTCGACTCGGTCGTCTGCGTCGCCGTCCGCCGTTGACCGTGGCAAGTGTTCTGGCACTATTTTATAGTGAAAGGTAGCCGCGCCTTGTAATATTACAGGCTAAACCACCTGTGAAATACACCTTTGACGAAAAGTTTAGATTGCTACGTGCAGGCGCTGATGTTTGCTGCACCTTTTATATGGAGCATCGGAATTTCAGACCTTCTCTAAAGTTCAAAGCAGACGAAAAACGCGCTCGTCGCAAGCCCCACGAAAAACAGAAAAGTCAAGTACTTGGTGCTGGGTGTTTGCGCGTTTTTCAAGTTCTTACCAATTCGTGTTCGCAAGACGAGCAATGTCTTCAGCCATTAGAAGGGGCGACGACTTTCCCACAACTTCGTATGAATCAGCTTGGTGATCGGGCGTGTCGTACGTAATAAATTATTAACGTTTAATTAATAAAAGATTTAGATTTCGAAGCTAGACATATTCGCCGGTACCGCGAACGACAGTCCCGCGCCTGTTGTCCGCCGCCATCGCTTAGTATGCTTCGTTCAGCTATGGTGCCTGGATCGCGTCTTCGACTCGTGTGTTTAGCGTCCTATCCCGCCCATACATCAAAAGTGGTCCCAATGTGGCGACAAATAGCGCGAGTGTTATGATGTTGCCTGTCGCGATCCTGGCGGTTGGCCGTAGAAATGCTGGCGAAAAGCACGAGCGAACGCGAGTGTCGCTTTCGTCACGGCGTCCCTTTAGGCGTCCCAACTTCCGGCTGCTCCAGCTTCCGTGAACTGTCACAGTGGAAAGCGACCTGCAGCAGAACAGGCGTCTGCCACTTATACCACAACTGTTGGGGCGCCGCCAGGGTCACAACAGGCGACAACATGACACTTCTATGACGTCATCAGGCGGAAATCGAGGGACCACTTTTTTGAACCCGGTAAACACACCAGTCGGAGACGCGTTCCAGGCACCATAGTTCAGCCGTCCAGCCCATGACTCCCGCGACACGACGCCATGTTGAGAATTACGCAAAAAAAATGCACAGAGCGCTTCCGCTTCTCTGTGCAACTTTTTCTCTTTCAGTCAACGTATTGGCAGCTTTTTAGAAGTAACAAAAAATGGGTGTCATATTTTTTTCTATTTTTAATATTGAGTTTGGGCCTTGGATGACCCACGACTTTGAATAAATTTGGCGGTTGTCTCTAAACCAAAGAGAACGGCACGTGATCTCGGAGAAGAAGGTGAGTCGACTCAAACCGGCCAGTTCTCGGTTTTAGGGCATAAAGAGAACGAATTTCGAGCCGCAAATTGTGTTCTGGGTAGTTGGGCTCTCATATTTCTTTTACAAATAAAAATATTGGCGAGCATTCACCTGTCAGTGAATATTTAGGCCTTACATCCGAAGTCAAAAACACTGCTCTCGTTCCCTGACACGCGGCCCGCGCAAGGCAGCTGAAACCTCAGGGTATGATGCAGTGTGAAGGAGTTGCCGAAAAAATGTAAGGAAATACGTTACTCGTTACTTGCAAATAAAAGGACCGCGTTACCAACCAACGTTCCTTGAAAATTAAAGGAGCCCGTTACCGTTACTCTTAATAAGTAACGCACGTTACGCTTGCTTTACTTTTTTAAAATTATGAAATAACACGTTTTATTCTTTGACGTTACAGGTATGCATACGCACCATATTTCAAGAATCAATATGTCCATTCAGAAACCTTAACTTACGTTTTTTTACGGTTCCACCTAGATATTTATAGAAAAAAAGCAAAAAAGAAGAAAAAACGCAAAATTTCTATGGCTTCTCCTCTAGAAACATGAAAGAAATTTAAGTGATTCTTTTGAGTGTTCGGAAAGATATGCAACGAGAAACGAAACTAAGTTACACGTTATTCAGAATAAGTAACGTAAGTGCATTACTTGTTACAGTTTTGAAAAGGTAGAGTAAGTTACAACGCTAGCGAAGAAAGTAACGCGTTAACGGTAACGTCGTTACTCATAACGTGTTACCGCCAATACTTGTATAAGGTCCCACCCAGTGTTTTGTTTTCGGTTTTTCTCTTGTCTATAGAAACGTTCAGGTCAAATGCTTGTAATATTCAAATTCACAGTACAAAAATACAATAGATTTCACGTCCAAGGTCTCTTTTTTTTCCAGGAACCTCTCCAGCTTTCTTTTAAATCGTACATCGCATGCATTATAGGGCTTTGACGACAAAGGTTTCAGAAAATATATGAAAATACACTACAGTATAATTGCACAATTCATTCCTTGTTGCACTGCAATCTACTTATACTGACCTTTGTTAAATCCTGGTACTGCTGAAGGTCAGGATTGAGCTCTGGCCATGATTGACTTCCACTGCAAAACGTCAGGCAGACCAGTCCAGTCACGGCAGACAATGCCAGTGCGATGATTGAGGTAGACTTCATGACTGGCAATTTAGCTTTGTAAGACTGGTTTGATTGCGAGAGCGCATTCCCAGCTGGGTTTTATATTGTAACTTCTATAACCTCTATAACATATAACCTTCGCACGTGTACACTTTATATTATTATTTATTTCGAAGCACGAACAACACGTGGGCGCTAACATTTCATTAATCGAAGCCGCGTGATAGCGGATATTGCAATTTCGCTCAGTTCAAAAACATGGATCACACAGGAAACCCGAACCAGAAAATATTGTCTAGTCCCGCCGGAAATTTTGCTTGGGAACATTTTGCATTCCCTTGATTTTCCCCTTGTATTTTTGTTAATAAAGTTTGGTTCTTCAATGTTATTACAATGGAACCACGTATGAGCGGATATTGCAATTTCGCTCATTTCAAAAACATGAAGCACACAGGATACCTAAACAGCAAAATATTCTCGAGTCCCACCGGAAATTTTACTTCGCAACATTTGTCTTTCCCTTGGTTTTCCGCTTGTAGTTTTTTTATTAACATTATTTCTTACAAAAGATACTATACAATTTCATCTGAGAGGCCCCGAATTTTGAAAAGCTGCATTCTAGAAATTTCGAAGTATGATTGTTTCTATTTTTGCATAAATATTCGAGACCTGAGCATTCGGCACCCTATTGGCAATTGTGACTGCAACTGTTTCAAAGTCCTAAAGTAATCATAAAACGCAAAAATTGTTTTCCTTCATTACCATTCACACAGATATTTTAGTTTAGCGATTAAAGCGTCGACTAGTGTTCGAAACTTAGTGAACAAATAATGTCTATTTTTATTACTGCTAAGCTTTGTGCCGCTCTACCTAATAATGTTCTCCAGCACGTGTCATTCCATATGTTTTCACAATGTTATAATTTCACCCCTGTTCTTGCTCATGCTTAGTAGCCACCTGAATAGCCGTCTTACCGAAGTATCTAATATGCCTTTTACGTATCCTGGATTTATAAATAAATAGGCAGCACCACACATTTGGTTTAAACATCTTTGGTGGTGTGCATACATGTGTCTGCATAAGACGTGGTCATATGTTATTAGAGCTTATTACAATTTATATGTGAAATATATTTATTTTAACTCTTCAGTTACAAGTAAAAATAAATTAAAATCGGCTCTATAAAACATGGCGCCATCACCTCAATTAATATTTTCTAAAAGTTGAAATTTATTGGCCTCTTATTATAAAATATGAAAAAGCATTGAGGTCCTAACGTTCAAACAACCTCTGTGTCACGAAAAATGTGGTGAAGGCTGAAACGTTTTCGGTGGTAAGAAAAGCGTGGTACAACTTAAAATGTACTCAGTGACAAGAAAGTGCGGTACTCTCTTATATCATTTGCACTAATTAAAAATGATTATATTTATATTTTGTGGAAAATAGATCACTACTAGAGACAAAGTACTTTGCATCCACTGGTGCACATATAATCCGACAGTCGGTAAGGGAACTACAAAGTTCATGCTAATTAACAATCAGGCATGCAGGGTGAAACGAAGTGAAATTATTTAAGACTTTCAAAATTAACATTTTCAGAAATGACGGGCATAAAACCACCCGAGCCGTCATTGAGACTTTCGAGAAATGATTTTGGGATCTATGATTCCTGGAACGGGCCGCTCAAAATTTGAACCACCTTGGATTAAAATAAACTCGTGTTGAACAAAACACTTTTGTCACATTTATATTCTATCAATCCTTGTTACGCCCGTACTAGAGAAAATGATGCTTGTAGCTTTGTCTTAAAGCAGATATTTTGCGGTCGCTGAACATATTTGTAATGGTAGATGAATTCGAATTCACCTCTACAAACTTGCCCAGGCTGTCCAAGCAAGGAAATCAAGGCCTTCAACTTTCACTTGTGAACATAAAGGCGAATATTAAAAAAGGTAAGCATACGAAATACTGCACCTTTTCTAAGTGCAAACATAACATATTGGTGCTCACCCAAGGAATATCTTCAACAAACATCTGATGCCATCCCCTTTTACTTTGTACGACTGAATTAAAACAAGATATATTACCCACCCTCTAGGACACCTTGGTGAAATTAACAAAGTGCGTTGGTTCTCTTAAATGCCACAACCGTACTTCGGGTGCTCTTCCGTCTTGATCATTGACATACAATACAACTAGAGTAGTTGCTTCATTGCAGACTGTTTTATAGGTTTCCATTTTGAAACATAAACTGTTTGTGGGAGTCTCGGGAAAAAAATATTGAGGCTCCAATCCATGCTGTGAAGATGTTTGGACAGCGAAGCTGTTCTTTAATGATTGCTTACTGCACTATAGACCCTTTTTATGGCAAACACCACCAGGTGGTGCTCCAGTCTTTGACGTGCAAGATAACTCCCGGTTTATAAACGGAATGAACAAAGGCTGCCTTAGCACGTTTGCTTGACGTGTAGATGAAACGTTTAACCACCAGCTCTCCAGGTGAAACCCAAAACAACGAAAAAGTGCGAGATCTCTTAAAATGTTTCAGGTATTCCAGTAAACCACCTTTCCTCCTTCAAGATGTAAAATTCTACAACCGAATACCCTCGTTAAATGTCCAACTTTGTTGACCGTGTAGCATTTATGCTTTCTAGCACTTTTGACATAAGCAAGCTCACCATGCTTGCAAAGACGGTTTAACCAGAAGTCGCTTGGGACGCAAGGGGCAGTTCATGTTTGTAAAATATACTAAAGGTCGATTCCAAACTATTGATGAAAGAAAAGTAAATGCACGGCACCAGAATGTTTTTATATGTGAAAAACTTCGAACGCTCCGTTGCTGCGGAAGCTTATGCTGCCGCAATCTTTACCAAGAAATGCTTGCGGGGAGCGCTGCGTGCATCGCAATGTTAGCGGGGCTAGTGACGTCATTATACACGTCGTATTCTGCCATTGCCGCGGCACCTTATGCAACCGCAATTATTACCACGAAACTCATGCGGAGAGCGCTACGTGCTTATCGTCTGTCACGTGGTTTTGATACTTGTGTGGTTTTCTTATTCAAACAAGTGTAAAAACACACATAAATGATAAGGCTTGCGCAAACGGCGATAAGGCGCGCGCGTGGCTTTTCTGTCAACGGACAGAAAAAAATCTCACCTGCGAGTCATATACAGCTTCCTCGTAAAATTGCTGCACAAATAAAAAAGATTTCTTATATGTTCGATTTAATTTTAATTAAAGATTTTAAAACGTGTTTTAACTCTTATAAAATTGCTGAAACAAATAAAAAAAATGTGTCCCTTCAATTATTTTGTGTGAAAACGTGTTTTAATTTAATTTAAAAAATATACATATTATACAGGAGGGAAGGATATTAATTATTTGTGTGCCCATGGAAGCAACATTTTCTCCACAAATATTTGCTACATAAAATTGTGCGAAGTTTGCGATGTGTTGAATCATTTCTTTCCGTTTCAAACTTGAGTTACGTCAATGCATATGCTTAGTGATAAAAATAAGCGTAAGTCTCCCTGGATTTTGATTTTTCCTAAATGTTTTGAGTGAAAATGAATGGTTTTCTAAAAAGGGTTTAATTAGCATAGTACATGATAAAACTAAACGGCGCAAAAACAGGGACAGCGATACAAAAACACTCACGACAGGACAAAAGCTGGGATCGCAACTGTATGATTTAAGATAATAAATAGCATAAAGGAAACATGCATAGCGTCTTGGAAGATTACAACGCACATAAACACAACCGGCAACAAAGAAACACGTCATAATCTTGAATCTTTCACCCCTAAACTACATGACCTATTCTGGGGGAACACTGAGACGGGGTGACAAGGGAGGTTATAAAAGATTTTCACATTTCCAGTCATGGCCAAACATTTGACAGCGAAGCATCGTTGGCATTGTGAGACAGAAATATGTAATTCCTGCAGGAAGAAATTAGTCATGTAGTGCAAGGGTGCAAGATCTTTATTATGACGTGTTGTTTGGTTCGCGGGTGCGGTCATATGTGTTTTAATGTTTGAAGACACTAAGTTTGTTTTCTTTGTGTTATTTCTTCTATTAAATTTTACAGTTGTGAGTATAGATTTGTGCTGTGGCAGTATTTTTTATCGTTGCTCCCGTTGTTTTACCAATTTCCATCAAATACAATGACTAGCAACTAGGCCAAATCACCAACTGACGTAATACATATTGATTTCTTGCGATTGCATTTCAATCTTGTATTTTAAGACATTTCTTAACTTGCGTTACGTTTGTAACGGTCTCCGGCATCACCCGGAGACGGCGACCGCCCGGTCGGCGACAAGTGGCCCGCAGGCTCCGAGCAGCGAAGCAGCGAGCAAAATTCGCGCGGGCGAGTCGAGAGCGGCGCGTTGCCCAAGGACAGGGACGCGGGGGAGATGGCGAGGGGGAAGCGACAGCAACCCGTTTCGGGAACCGTTTGATTTACACCAGGACCCAGGTCGTCTTTTCTTTTTTGTCGTCAAAAAAAAGAACACGAACAGCTACCTACTATTTGGTTACCCTGGACGAGCGAATCTACGTGGTTCAGCACAACATCTCATCATGCCTTTATCGGACAACGAGGGGGCTGCTAGAAATTCCAGTCCACCGAAAGCTCTAGCGGGAATCCGACTGAAGCTGCCGCTATTTTTGGAAAAAGAATGCGTAGGTTTGGTTCGCACAAGTGAAGGCGCAGTTCCAACTCCACCGCGTCACATCACATGCCACAAGGTATCTTCACGTGGTCTCGTCGCTACCAGCCGAGGGCGCCAACGAGCTCGAGGATATTCTCGCGGCCGCGCCTACACCCGACGGCTACGACCATCTCAAGGCGCCCAGTTTCTCTCGGAAGACCGCGTCGGAGCGCAGTCGGCTTCAGCATCTCCTCAATATGGAGGAACTCGGTGATCAGCGACCCTCGCAGCTGCTGCGTCGCATGCGACAACTCCAGGGCGACGCAACTTAGGACGCGGACACATCGCTGCTCTGGGAGTTGTTTTCGCAGCGTTTGCCGAA